TGGGAGCCGATCGCGACTCAAGAGATATTCTCTCTAGGCGTTGTCGCGAGTTCCGTACCAAATTTACATATTTGGGCAACAGCCCTTAAACGTCTTCACTAATCGACTCAGGGCATTGTCCCCTAGGCGCTGTCGATATTAGTGATCACAATTTATAAGCGAACGTTATCCGCCGCAGCAGCGGTGCGTAGAACACAAAACGAACGATACTCGTCGTGATATAGTGCGTCGCGATAATACGAACGATACTCGTCGTAACACTTTGCGGCACATTAATGCGAACATTTTCAATGTAATGCGAAATAAATAATTCAATTGTGATAACAAACAATAAATACGAAAAGACAGTGCAAGAATAATTCGTTACTAATTGTGCTGAATCCTATGGAACATTTTGGTGCCTCCTGTGAGGTACGAGCTCAACGGCAGAGGATACCGTGCCGTGGTGATTTAAGTTACGAGAATCAATCGTCGACCGTATACGAGTCAGCCGAATCGTCGAGATTAGCAAATCAACTACTCATACAGAGGTATACACGCATACGGCCTGGTGAATTGACGTAAGTCATTTGAATCCTCATCGATACTAAACGACGCAGCCATGGCAGATAGAGTCAAGTATCTCCTACAGAAAAGAACCTCTTTGAAATCCCAAATAACCACTTTATCCAATCTCATAGACAAGGGCAGCATAAACAACGCCACATTAAAATTAAGAATCGCGCGCTTAACCGAGTTATACCATGCTTTCGAAGAGCACAACGACGAGCTCGCTATGGCGGATCCGAACGACGCTCATCATGACGAATTCGTTGCCATTCAAGAGCGGTTTTATGCTATCGCGGGAAAAATCGAAGACATTTTGTTAGATACACCAAATACTTCAAATTCCGGCAATTCGAGCATCGAAACGCGAACCGATAACTCTGAGAACGCGTCGGTCGTGAAAACGCGGCGAATTAAATTACCCGAAGCGCCTTTACCAACGTTTGACGGTAAATACGAATTGTGGATGTCATTTAAAAATGCGTTTCAGAATATGATCGGGTCGCGCACCGATTTGTCCGATATAGACAAACTACATTATTTGAAATCGGCTTTATCTGGTGAAGCGGCCAATAAGACGAGAATATTAGAGATTGACGGAATACATTACACCAAGGCCTAGGAGTTGTTAGAACGCTCATATGAGGTTAAACGCATTCTAATTTCGCGGCATCTTTCTATGATCACGAACATGACCGTATTGGAAAGAGAAACGTCAAGCGCGCTCTCGAAACTCGCGGACGACACTCAACAACACGTCGCGTCATTGAAGGCCTTGGGAGTGTCCGTCGGTCCCGAAATGCTCGTCCATATGTTGGAAAGTAAATTACCAAGGATCACACTAGAAAAATGGGAATTGACTCTCGAAAGAGACGAGTTTCCTAAACTCGATGATATGTACGAGTTTTTGTACAAAACCGCGGTGTGCGCATCTAAACGAGAGAGATCGAAAGTTACGGAAATAGAGAGGGACAAAGGCGAGCCTTCGGCTAAAAGGAAGCGTTATGCTACGAATCGCGCTTTCATTTTGAACGCGTCGCGTAATTGTTTGGCATGCAAGATAAAACGGCATCCGCTGTATCTATGCGATAAGTTCAAGCGACTATCTGTCCCGAAGCGTATCGAATTCGTAAAGGGAGCCAAGGTTTGCTACAATTGCTTGCGTTCCCATCGAGATACTCCCTGTAAATTCTCGAATTGTACGATCTGCCAAAAACGTCACAACACGCTTTTGCACCTCGAAAACTACGCGACCGCGAGTAAAACTAGCGCGACGAAACCCAGCATGACGAAACCAGAGGCCGCGCAAACCGAATGACTAACACCGTTGGCCGGAAATCGGGCGATAAGCTTGGCCTCGATCAGGCCCATGTCGACGCCGCAATTATTGACAAGCGCATTGATTTACATCGGTGATCACAAAAATATTCTTATCAAATGTCGCGCATTGCTAGATACTTGTTCCACAGCAAATTTCATCTCAGAGTCTCTAGTGATACAACTCGGCATTCCCGTAGTCGCCAGTACGACGTTAGTCGGCGCGATTAACACTATCAGCACCGAATCGAAAGGTATAGCGCGAGTTACCATACAATCAATACGTGACGGCTTTCGTAAGGAATTGACATGTTTGACGATACCGGCCATAGCGGATTTGATCCCGTCTGAAATTTTTCCTCGAAAATCCATTAAAATACCGCCGAATATTAAGCCGCGGATCCCGACTTTCATTTACCCCGACCTGTCGATTTACTGATCGGATCGGGGGCGACATTGTCATTATTATCCATCGGGCAAGTTAATTTGTCGCATCCAGATCATGATCTGTATCTGCAAAAAACGCGGCTCGGTTGGGTGGTCGCCGGCAGTACACCCGTCGGTACATATTCAAAGACGGCGATTTGCCATTTAACGAATTTGGAAAATCAGATAGTCAAATTTTGGGCAGTCGAGGAAATTGAGGAGAAACACCCCAAGTCCAAGGAGGAGATCGAATGCGAGACGCACTTTATTAAAACGACTAACCGCACTTCCGACGGACGTTACATAGTTTCGTTACCATTTCGCAACACGGGCAAGCGTCTTGGAGAATCCCGAAGCGTAGCACTTAAACGTTTCTTAGCCTTAGAACGTAAGTTCGACCGAGACGCAGCATTCAAAGCCGAATATACGCGAGCATTCGAACAATATTTAACTTCGAACCATATATCGGTGGCAGACGATCCGGAGGATGACGGATATTATATGCCGCATCATGCGATATTCAAGGATTCGAGCGAGACAACCAAAATCAGGATTGTATTTGACGCGTCAGCGAAAACAAATACCGGTTTGTCTTTGAATGATGCGTTGATGGTGGGACCGACGATACAGAACACTTTATTTGCACACTTAATTCGGTTCCGAACTTACAAATACGCGATAACCGCAGACATTGAAAAAATGTACTTGCAGGTACTTGTGCATGAAAACGAACGAAAATTTCAGCGCGTTTTGTGGCGCAAAGATGACGAGATCAAAACTTTTCAGCTCAATACGCTCGCATTCGGTGTAGCCTCGTCACCGTTTCTCACGATTCGCACCCTCCAACAGCTTGCGGAGGATGAATGCCACGCCTTTCCTGAGGCAACTAAAGTCCTCAAGACACATTTATACGTCGATAACTTACTGTCAGGAGCGAATACCATTGACGAAGCGCGATTGATTAGGGACAAATTAATCGATTTACTCGCGCGGGGAGGTTTTAACATAAGGCAGTGGGCATCTAATGAAGAGCGCATTATTAATGATTTGCCGACGCGCGCGTTGCATGCGAGCCTGGCGCTTGACGCGGATGGTTCCTTAAAAACTAGGAATACGATGGAGCATACGCAGCGATGAAATGTGCTACACAACTAATCCGATTAGAATCACTGAGAGATTGACAAAAAGAAACGTATTAGCCGCGGTTGCACAAATTTTTGATCCATTAGGCCTGCTGGGTCCGGTGGTATTATATGCGAAAAAAATAATGCAGGACGTGTGGCGTGCCGGAATACACTGGGATGAATCGGTTTCGGAATGTATCTATACAGAATGGTTAGAGTTCACTCGACAATTAGATTTAATAGAGCAAATTACTTTTCCCCGTAAATTATTGGTCGATGATTGTCGGGAAGTGCAAATTCACGGGTTTTGCGACGCAAGCAACATCGGCTATGGAGCATGTCTATATGTGCGATCAAAAGAGGGATGCGGTTCTACGATATCTAACATATTATGCGCTAAGTCGCAAGTCGCGCCTTTGAAAACAATTACATTACCGCGACTAGAGCTTTGCGGAGCTTCATTGCTGGCCCAGTTGTATCGCGAAATAAGAAGCACTCTAAATATCGTGCCTAGCAAAACCGTTTTCTGGAGCGATTCGACCATAGTCTTACATTGGTTGAAGACGCCACCACATTCCCTTAAAACGTTCGTAGCCAATCGCGTTACGCAAATTCAGGAATTAACCAGCGCAGGCGAATGGCGACACGTTCGATCCGGGGATAATCCGGCCGACGCAGTGTCAAGGGGTCAATTACCTCACGCATTTATACGTAATAGCATCTGGTTCGCGGGACCGTCATGGTTGGTCGGAGACGAGAGCGAATGGCCCAACGAAATGACACGAGCGATCGAGGTTCCTGAGTTAAAGAGAAACATATGTTTGCAGGCTATTGCGACCGACGTTGGACTTTTAGAGAGATTTTCATCTTATTCCAAATTAATTAGAGTTACGGCATATTGCTGTCGCTTCCGACCTACTAATAACTACACCGGATCATTATGCGCTAAGGAGATCGAAGAATCCGAAACTCGAATCCTAAAAATGTTGCAAGTAGCTACATTATTGAATGAAATCGAAGCCCTTAAAGGTGACGGTTTAAAAAAGAGGAATCAATTATCCGGTTTGAGTCCGTTTTTAGATCAAAGCGGCGTGATGCGAGTCGGAGGACGTATTCAGAAGGCAGAATTAATGTTTTCACGGAAGCATCCAATATTACTGCCTAATCGACACCATCTAACGGATTGCATTATTCGCGAAATTCACGAAAACAATTATCATACGGGTATTCAGAACACGCTGCATTTTCTTAGGCAGAGATTTTGGCTACTCGACGGCCGCAATCAGGTGCGGAAGATCGTTCGGGCATGTTCGCGTTGTTCGCGCTTTAATGCCAAGGCTATCGAATATAAGATGGGCAACCTTCCGCCAGTCCGGGTGCGTCAAGCGGTTCCTTTTTCTAACACAGGTATCGATTTTTGCGGGCCGTTTTTCATCAAAGAAAAGAAATATCGCAATCGCGCTCGGATAAAGGCATACGTGTGTGTATTTGTATGCATGGCGGTTAAGGCGGTTCACTTGGAGGTCGTCAGCGACTTGTCTTCGGAAGGTTTTATTGCCGCGTTACGTCGGTTTGTCGCGAGACGAGGGCTGCCCGATCATATTTTTTCTGACAACGGAACGAATTTTGTAGGCGCAAATAATCAATTAAAGGAATTGTTCGTTATGCTTAATTCGGACGAACATAAAACGTCAATAAATAAATTCGCGAGTGAGCGTCGGATCACGTGGCATTTTATACCACCGGTGGCCCCACATTTCGGCGGTTTATGGGAGTCAATAGTGAAACTGTTCAAACATCATTTTAAACGCGTGGTCGGAGACTCTTTGTTTACCTTCGAGGAATTAAATACCTTTACTGCCGAAGTTGAAGGCATCCTGAATTCCAGACCTATAACATCCTTATCATCCGATCCAAACGATATGGTGGTATTAACCCCTGCACACTATTTAATTGGACGACCATTAATATCTCTTCCGGAGAACGACCTCTCCGTTGTTCCAGTCAATCGATTGTATACCTGGAAACATATAACTAAGGTACGACAAGATTTCTGGACACGATGGCATACGGAGTACCTAAATGAATTTCAGAAACGCACCAAATGGGTCAAAGACGGATCTAAAATCGAGATTGGAACAGTCGTACTCATCAAGGACAAGAATTTACCTTGTATGCAATGGGCGCTAGGCCGGATCATACAACTGCATCCAGGCGAGGACGGAATCGCACAAGTGGCCACCATCAAAACGGCGTCCGGGGAAATAAAAAGATCCACTACATCGTTGTGCCCCCTACTGATGGAGCAATATTAACAGTTTGCCAACATGCGTATTATCTTCCCGTTACTTGTTTTGTCCAAATCATATAATATGTAATATGCGTAACATATACTAAGCGAAATAATATTATACGAACGATGCGAAACGATACGATTGATAGTGTCGTAATCAACATGCCAGTCGATCGCTACACTCTCAACGGGGGGAGTATGTTACGTATCAAGGCTGTTATGTCATGCATGACGATACGCGGTATATTTGGCATTACGGCGGCA